AAGGATCACCTGTCCATCGTCGCCAAACGGAACATTGCGCACCTGTACGCCCTGCGCGGCGAAATAATTCTGCCCGACGCGAGCGACGAGGTGAACACACCCGAAACGTTGGACGCAATGCTGCGGCACGCCAGAATGGGGCACATTCCGGCGGAATCGATGGCCAAGGTAGTCCACGCCACAACCGGTGGTCCAAAGCATCCAGCTAAGGACATCACCTGCGAAGATTGTGTGAGAGGAAAAATGACACTCACCTCGGTGCCCAAGAAAGGTGACCGACCACTGCATCCGCTCGAAACTTGCCTGCACATCGGCTTGTGGGGTCCTGCGAAGGTCAAGTCGCCTAACGGGGCCGAATACTTCATCGCGTTCACAGAGGATGCGACCAACTACGTCGCCGTACGGTTTCTACGCAACAAAGGCGATGCCGCCGAAGCCATCAAGGATTACATACCTTGGCTGGAGCGACAGACGGGCGGGAAATTGAAGACACTTCGTTTTGACAATGGAGGAGAGTTCGTCAACGTCGACATGGAGGAATACTTGCGTGACCGCGGCGTGCACCATGAACCCAGCACTGCCAAGCATCCTTGGCAAAATGGCACGGCCGAACGCATGAACCCAACCGTGGTCGAAATGGCACGAACCTTGATGATTCACTCGAACACGACGAAACGTTGGTGGGCGGAAGCCGTCAACACGGCGGCGTTCTTACGCAATCGTACGCCGAACTCCAAAACAAAGGACGTGACGCCACACGAACTCATACGCGGGAATAAACCTGCCGTGGCCAATCTGAAGGTCTTCGGTTCGTGTGCTTTCGACCTGTTGAAGCGACTGACAAGACATCGTCACGGGCCAACAAGTGCCACTTTCTTGGCTACAACGAGACAAAGAAAGCATACAACGTCTACGACTTGGAGGACAATAAGGTCGTGTTTACCTTGGACTGTCGCTTCAACGTGATCGAATTCCTTAACCGCGGCTCTCCCTACAAGATAAACTCGCGACCTCACAA